GAATTTCCATAGTGAAGTATAAGAAAACAACAACAAACACCAACCCAAGCAGGATGTGAGGAGGTCTCACTGAGTTTAGAAGATGGAGCTGCATGGCTAAGGAGGCCAGAGAGGCAAGAATACATGGGGCATAATACCAGAGTACACCCGGAGTGGACACCGGTCACTTCCAAAGCCCGTCCTTCAGTGCAGCCTTGCTCAGCACACATGACTGGGGAAATAACCGCTTCCAAATATTTAAGACAGATTGCCTAGACTCACACAGAGCACTGAACATTGCCTATTGCTCAGCAGTCAGAGTGAAAGACATTTCATTTATGGGGCACTGGGTAGCGATCTCTCAAGAACGTTCCTTCAGGAGTAGGTGAGGGTTAGTCCGAAATCAAATGCTCTGATATTCACATGGTTTAAAAACAGATTTGAAAGAAGACAACTGTTTCCAAGTAACTTGTCCAGAGTGTGTTTGGGGGGGGGGGGTGCAGGTGTTGCTGGAGTATTTATAAGAACACAAAATTTTCCTGGACCCAGCCCGGCGTTGGTGGTGCATGCCTTTAATCCCAGCACTTGGGAGGCAGAGGCAGGAGGATCTCTGTGAGTCTGAGGCCAGCCTGGTCTACAGAGCGAGTTCCAGGACAGCCTCCAAAACAATACAGAGAAACCCTGTCTTGAAAACCTCCCCCGCAAAAAAAAATTCCTGGACCCAACAACTTAAAATTCACAGCAATAAGGATCTACTAAAAAAATCACCCAGCATACAAAGGAGAACTGCTACTTTACTATTTCTTTAAAATAATTTTCTTAAAATTCCACTGAATCTTAAATTGTCCTTAAGACATTAGTGAAATCATCTTAATCGTGTTCACCTTACATGCTATTTTGAAAATTCCCAAAATACTAACATTTCTAAGGTGAGCAACACTGTATTTAAAAGTTCAAGTTTTACAGACAAGAAAACTAGAGTCTAAATTACTCCCAACTTGTTTCTAAATTCTTAGAAAAGCCACAGAACATCCCTCAGTTTCAGCTGATTTATCTGTAAAACAATATCACTTCTTAGGGCTGCTGTAACAACTGTTCCTAAATAGAGACAGGCCTAGTGGTGCACGCCTCTGATCCCAGCTCTTGTGAGACAGAGACAGGCAGATTTCTGTGAGTTCAAGGCCAGCCTCATCTACATAAGTTCCAGGTCAGCTAGACCTACACAGTGAGACCCTGTCTCAAAAACAGAAAAAAAAATGTTGCCCTGTTCCACATTCATACAAACATTACTAAGGATGTATCATGTCGAGGAGCACAGAGACACTAGAAATATGAAAGAGAAAGGGCCTCAAAGCACACTCTACATGGAACCCACATTAAAAGTTCAAGTACAAACTTCATATTCCACTTTGTAGTTTCTAAGTAGGGCAATTATTTTAAGGTTCTCCTACAAAAATTAAAGAATCACTCTTTTTTTCTTTGAAAAAACAATCTAAGACATTGTCACATTCAACCAATTAATGCATGTCTGGGAAAGATTTAGAAACTGAAAAACATGCTAAAACTTTAACTGAAAAGCAACCTGCAATTGGCATCACCTTTCAAAATTCTCAGATTAACAGACCAAATTATGGACCAATCTGATACTATGATAATTTTTGTCAGAAAGGCTGGACCAATAGATATAAGGAAAGAAAATCAAGTTCAAGTTTGCATTTCATTTGCTCATTTCACTTAGATGCTGACATATGACTTAAGTATTAACCCTCTTACTAAAATATTTTTCTTTTCTTCTTGGTTTTTCGAGACAGGGTTTCTCTTTGTAGCTTTGGAGCCTATCCTGGCACTAACTCTGTAGACCAGGCTGGCCTCGAACTCACAGAGATCCGCCTGTCTCTGCCTCCCGAGTGCTAGAATTAAAGTCATGCACCACCAATGAATCTAACTTGGTCATACCACTATACATTCATTTTATTAGTTGCACTACATAGCTGCTGACATCACTCAAAGTCTTCCGAATCTCTACCTCTCAAAGTCCCCGAACCATCACCAGTGCCACCCTGGAGCTTACCATAAGGGCAGAGTCTCATTCCCCACAACAGTCTATTCTGATTGAGTCAGAATTTGCATTGTAACAAAATCCCTATAGGATGGCTATGAACATTGATGCCTGATTAGCAAAGCTGTAAACTGTGGCAGGTTTGGGGTTTTTACTTTGTTGATTGTTACAAAAAAAGTTTATTTGCTGCCAAACTGTGACATGTAATAAGAATTCAGAAAAGTAAGTGGAATCAGCATGATGGACATTCTCTGTATACCATACTCTTGATGTCTCCTCACTCCCGACCGTCCCTCTCAACAGGGCCTTGTACTCCAAGAAATCTTGCACTATTCATCTTTCTCTTGGATGGACATTTTGTCAGCCACTATGACGAGCATCCTCTTTGAAGCTAAATAACCACACATATGGGATCAAGAGAACAGAGTCTCCATAATTTCGGGGACAATTAAAAAAATCAAAATGTGTTTATCTACCGTTGAATTGAAAACATTCCATATGAAAAAGAAAACTACTTAAATGACTTTATCATTATAAATTTCTGTGTATCACCTAATATACAGTTTTACGGTAGGTACCACATGTTTTAAAAAGGAATTCACATAGAACTTAGGGAGCATGGTATTATTATTACTATTATACAACAGTCACAGCGCCTATAAAATAGAGCAAATCTTGTTTCTCTCCCATTTAAAAGAAAGATATGACAGACCTATGCTGAAACTGATCACAGCAGGCAGGATGGCTGGGCACAGGTTCAAAGCAAGGTACTAGTGTCCAGTTTTCAAAATCCCTGTAAGCGCCAACTTCATCTCTTGTCGCTGTGGCCATGGTGTTATGCCAAACATTTGAAAACAGCTCAAGAGTGCTGTTCCATATAAGCAATTATGAAGAGCTTTGCAAAGAGAAGGTAAAAATTGTAATAACAGTCGACACCTTCAATTGGTCAAAATGCTCATTCTCTGGGATGCAATATAAGAGTTACCTGGATGAATGTGAACCAATGCACCAAACACAGAGAAAAGGATTGAAAGGGATTAAAGAGTTGCTAGGAGAAATTATCAAGGAGCCTACTTGAAGTAGTCTTGGACGTTAAATATGTCCTGCAACATCCCTGGCCTTTATAAGATCCAATTATAGATCAGTCACACTTGCATTTACCTCACTCCATTTTGCATTTTTGGCCTATAACTTCTTTTAGGATACAGAGTTCCACAAGAGCACAAGGTGTTTAATGGTTTTTTGAAACGGGCCTAAATATATTGATCTCCAGTTTTAGAGTACCATTTACTCTAATATTTCAGAATGTCATGAATAATTCATAATGCCCTAGTTCTAGTCACATCCCCCATCCAAAGCTCTCAAAACTGTGTACTTGGCTCTATTTATTCACCTATCAGTCACTCTTCAATTCTCTTCTGGCTGGCTTCTACACCCTTCCCTCACTCGAACTCGTCTTAGACCACAAATAACCCTTTACATGGCTAAGTACAATGGCCACCCTCCAGTTGTTACTTTCCTCTTGCTGACTGCTTCGTTCCACAAACTTAACCAAGCATTCTCTCCCCCTTGAGAGAACTCTCTTCCTTCTTCCAGATACTTTGCAACTCTCTAGCCCTTGTCACTCTTAGAGCTTCTGACACTTCTATCTGAACTGCAGTCATTCGCTGCACGACCTTGGGGAAAAGTCCTGGAATCTCCTCTAAGCTCATGACTGTATCACTTCATGATGCTGACGCACACCTTCACATATCCAGCCCAGACCAGCCTTCTGGGCCCAGAACAGTACACACAACTGGGTACAAGTGTCGTCTCATTGTGTACATTAAGCTCCACATATGCACCTCTCAAGTCTTGGACTTTCCCGTTTTTTCCTCCAGTGCATCCCATTCAGCTACAGTTGCTTCTGCCAAAAACCAAATCCCTTTACCCTCATTGCTCACATTCAACCAATCACCAAGCCTTTTCATTTCTATCCTCCAAAGTATATGTCCATTTCCCCATCTCCACCATCCTCTTCCACCCGGGCAGGCCTGAGGTGTCATTAACTTTAGTCTTCCTGAATTCACTGATACCTTCCTCTAATTCCATCTACAAAGGCAGAGTGATGTGCCAAGAAGAAAATGATTCAAACACTTCCTATGGCTTCCCTGTGGGTTCTAATATTCACAAGACACTGTCCTCCTCTCCAGACATCCACACCACTACTATTATTCCCTGGGTTCCCTAAGAGCCAACCGTTTGGCTTCTCTCTATATATTAGACCTGCTACGCTTTTCTCAGGTGTGGCGATCCAAAAAACAAACAACTCAGTGTACATGCACACATACCCTATGAAGTAAGATTGTTGTTTTTATTCCTGTTTCATCTCTACTATACTTATTTCAATATAACATCAAGATACTATTTCTATTTTACAATAAATGAGCTTCAGACAGGTAAAGCAGCTTAACCGAGAACATGGAAATTCGGCAGTAAGTGGGGTTTCAGGGACTGGCAGTGTAGCTCAGGGCGCATGCTCAGCACACGGGAGGCTTTGTTCAACTCTCCAACACCAAAATTGACAGCTAGAATCTAACTTTAGTCTTGTGGACTACCAGATTCCCCAGTACCACAAAAAAGCATGCAAAGCCATGCATGAGAACAGGGACCATTTAGGCTTTGCTCCATGCTAAATCCTTCTCAAGGTGAACAGTGTCTAGCATGCAATCCATGTTCAATCAGTAAAGTTTAATATAGGAATGTTTACCTCATCCTTGCATAATTAGCTTGAGAACGAAATCAATTACAACTATGCCTCCTAGTCCTATCTAAACACAGGCTTCCTATGTTAGCAGTCACCCTCTCTGGTCCTTGCAGAGGTGCGAGGGTGGGCACTAGCCCTGTGTGACTGCTGGCCAGGATCCTCCCTCCTTCCCTGGGGATCAGGAAGCTGGCGGTCTTTCCTACTCTCAGGCCTCACCTTCCATGTGGGCGAAGATCCTACATCAGCTTCCGAGCCGGGATCAGGTGACTCTCCGGTGTGCAAGAGCATGAAGCGGCCATAGCGCTTCAGAGGCCACTGGGAGACTTCTCCCGGAAGGCCGAGGCCCGAGGCGACTTTTCCCGCCTCAGCCATGCCTGCTCACGGTCCTGGAAAGCGGCCTCCACGTGACACCTCACGACAATCGGCTAGCCAATCAGGAAGCACGGTGGCTCAAGGCCCACCCTTCCCCTAAGAGAAAGCCGAGGATTCTTCTACCTATGGACCGGAAGTGTGGTCTTCGCTGGTTTTTTTTTTTTTTTTTTGACCTTGGGAAGCCTGGAAACGAGGATATTTAAGCTTACAATTTGTAAGATTTCAGTACCAGCATGGGAGACTTCACCTTCCCTCAAGGCAGCCCACGTCATGGTCCATCAGCCTCGAGCCTTGAGAGACTTCCTAAACTGGCCGACTTCCTCATAACCACTAAACCACGGGGCTAGGCTGTCTCTCTGGGGTGTCTTCGTCCTCATAGCAGTTTCTCAGATCATGGCAGCCTCTTACCATCCTACCTCAAATCTGCCACAACCATTCGGCAAACATGGCTACTTTCTCGCCATCTTGTGCCCCTGAACATATTACCTCCTTTTTTCATATGTAGAGAGGAGCAGATGGATAGGGGTTGGCCCAGAAGTATAAGCCTCCATTAAACAGCAAGCAAATGACATTTCTGGGTGATTTATAGCCAAAAAAGCATTTCCACATCTGTTAGTTCATTTATCCCCTCAACAACCTTGTGCTGGGTTACAGAAACACAACAGGGATTATTAACCGTCTCCCCCTTTCTCCAACCCACCTCCCGCCCCAGAACTGATGGTTGCAAAATAAGGTCCAGAGAGCAGACATTATTTATCTATGGACATAGCTGGTGAATGGCAGAGCCAAAGTAGAACTGTAGACCCCAGAGTCTCTTCATATGTCTGTTCCACTTACAAACAAGAATTTAAGTATTTATAAATCTATGTCAAGTCAGAGCAATGTATACAGAGAATGGAGGCTATGTTAACCAAACACAAAGTAAAAATAAACTGAAAACTTAAAAGTTTTATTTTTTTAATTGGGTTTTGTTTTGTTTCTGTTTTGAGACAGAATCTCATTCTGTAGCCTATGTTGGTCTCAAACCTGTGGTGAGGCTGCCTCAGCCTCCTGAATGTTGGGATTATAGCTAGGAGCCATCAAACCAGACTCAGTGCAAACAGTTTTTAAACTACGCAGTAGACATCTAGAGAATGTTTGGGAAAGCGGTCATTTGTTCAGTACAATGCATCAACTATCTATGGAGTGCAAAAGACCATGCTAGCCAGCAACTGGCTACAGAAATGCTTACCCATTCCCACGGTGCGCAGCTAGCCTCTGGGACCTCAGGATCTAGCAAGGAAGAACGAAGCAAGGTGCAAAAAACCTCATCCGTCTAAGGTTGCATGCCCAGTGAACAGCAGAGCCTCCGAAGAACCACGGGCTCCACCACGGCTCCATGTGACAACTCCACTCATAAAGAATTTAAGTATTTAGCCGGGCGTTGGTGGCGCACACCTTTAATCCCAGCACTCGGGAGGCAGAGGCAGGCGGATCTCTGTGAGTTCAAGGCCAGCCTGGTCTACAGAGTGAGTTCCAGGACAGCCTCCAAAGCCACAGAGAAACCTTGTCTTGAAAAACCAAAAACAAACAAACAAACAAACAAAAAAACCCAAGAATTTAAGTATTTGTAAGGCTAGGCCAAGTCAGGAGCTTGATCCATATTCCTGGCAGGAAATGCTGTGCCATGACGTCATAAGTCTACCAAGAGGGAGTGGTGGTGGCATTTGACTTAGAGCTTGAAGGTTTCCAAAGGAGTGATGAGGAAACTGGCATCCCCTGGGGGGGGGGGATTGAAGATCAGAGATACAGAGGTGGCAGCAGAGCTGCTAGGAAGCAAAGCTGAGTTTTAAGAGAGAAGGGAGATGGGCAGAAGACTACTCAACAGCCATGAAGGAGTGTGGGTTTTTCTTGGCAGGGGGGAGGAATGTGGTCCAGGCAAATTAATCTGGGTTGGGGGGGGGATGAGATAAATTTGATTAAACTTACCATTAAAGTTTCTTATCATTCCATTCATCCAGTAAAATTTATCGAAAGGCTCAGGTTTCAGAAACGGCTTCTGAAAGTCCTGAAATGACACAGCAGTACTGTACTTAATGTGGTAGTAAATAGTTAAAACTTGGTTTGAATCTCAGCTGGCTTGCCAGCTGTGTGACCTTGGGGAAATCACTCAACCTCTCTGTAAAATAGTGCCATTACACAACTACGTTATGGGCTCACGATAAGAGCATATGGGAGGAAATACTTGGTAGGCTGTAAAGTGGTACACGTGTTGATCTTTTCTGTTTCCAGGGTTAAAGTGACTTTGCATGGGCCAGCTACAGGATGGAGGATGGGAACAGAAGCCTGACATTGGGTCTCTGGGGCACTCACCTTCCAGGCCCAGGGTTGCAGCTGCTGTCAGACACCCTTCAGAGGAACAGATGGTGTTCACAGTTGGGACCCTGTCAGTGCCCAAGGACACCCAGAGTCCTGCTGAGTTCCCACCTGCAAGCTTCCTTCCTAGACAATGCACCTGCATCCCACCTCTGGGGCCACCAGCATCTGCCAAGAGCAGGTCATGCCTGCAGAGGGAGATATATGATGAAGCCACAGCTCAATGCATGGAAGCTTGCACAAACTTACAGTATTAATGAGAATTACTTGAACACCCAAGAGACCCAAGCATTGTAGAGAGTAAAGCCCACTAGGCTTCTCCTTTTTAGGGCTTACATCAGTGAGAGTCAGAGCATTGAGCAAGTCACTGCATCCTCTTAACTGCTAAAGTATCTTCTTTTTTAAAAATGCAAGTGAAATGTTTATGAAAGTACAGTATTACACAACAAGAAGCACAGATCTCCAGTGTTTAATTAGGTAAGTTTGTGTTTCCTGTTCTATTTCTTATTTTGGTTTTTGAGATGGGGGCTCACTATGTAGCCTTACCTGGCTTGGAAAGTCTTATGTAGACCAAGCTGGCCTGAAACTCACAGACCCACCTGTTTTTTACCTGAGTGCTAAGATTAAAGGTGTGTACCCAGTCAATTAAGTAACTTTTAATACCAGTGTACATTCATGTAACTACCCAAGACAAGATATAAAACATTTTTGAAACTTAAATCCCTTCCTCTTCCCAGATGATGTCCATCTCACAAAATGGACAGCTGGCCTAGTCTATGTTTTATAACCACAGCTTGGTTTTCCTCCCTAGGGACTCCACATACATGGATGCCTCCATGGTGAGCCCATTATATCTACCATTTTCTTGTCTTTTTTGAGACAGAAGCTCATATGGCCCAGATTGACCTCTACCAAAGATGACCCTGAACTCCTGCTCCTACCGTCTCCACCTCCCAAATGCTGGTATTACAGACATGCACTTCCAAGCCTCCTGGCTTAGATCTGCTTCTTTTGTTCTTTGTAATTTCAGTTTTAGGCTCTATCAACAATTTACTCTTTTTTTTTTACTACCAAATAACATTCTATGGTATGACTAGCTCACAGTTTGCTTTTTAAAGAATTATTCCAGTGCTATGAGGCTTGAAACCAGAGCCTCATGCATACTAGGGAAGCATCTACTGTTGACCTACATGTCTACTCCATGCTGTGACTACCTTCACCTGTAGGGTCGTTTTCCACTGGGTTTTTTGTTTGTGGTTTGTTTGTTTGGTTGGTTGATTTTGTTTTGCTCTTGTTGTTATAACTATTCTCACACAAGTCTTTTTTCTAATATATGCTGTCATTAACCTAGGGATCTCTAAACATAAAGTGAGGGATGATAGAAGAAGACAGCTGTCATCAACTTCAAGCCTCAGTATCATGTCCCCCTACACAGTGTGCCTACACAAATGCATGTGCAAAAATGGCTTTGTTTCTCATGGAAGATAGGAATGAGTGACTGGGTCATCTTTGGGATGAGCAAGTGCCCACACCTAGAGAGTTTTGACCATGAGATAAAGAGGATAGAGGGAGGACATAAGGAGTAAGGGGCAGACACATCCATCCTGTACATTGGGGACAAGATGGGGTTTGAGTTTGGCTTTTAGAGGGTAATAAGTTATTGACTATGTCTAAGAATCTATTTGTCTCTTTTTCTCCTCACTCCTCGAGTGGGATAATGCTGAGATCTGTTTCCCAGCATTCCCTAGTGGGATTCTGCTCCCACTAGGATTCTTTTATGTCTAACTCCCTTCTCCCTCCCTCTCAGTGTTCCCTAGGATCACCTCTCCCTTCTCCCTCCCTCTCAGTGTTCCCTAGGATCATCTCCAAAATAAATTGTACTTGAATCCTTGTCCCAGGGCTGCTTCTGAAACAAACTAAGATGGGAACAAACAAGACCAAAAGAGTTTCAGATTTAGTTTTAAGGTCACTGTAGAGAAGCAGATAGTGCAAGAGGTATTTAGGAGAGGAGGAATCATTCTCAATCCAAAGACCCTTCCATGCCTAAGTAACTAGCTGCAGCCACAGCAGAATTTATAACCTAAAGTACTGAATGACAGGCAACTATTGGCTAACACATCACCCTGTTGCAATAAACAAACACCCAACCCACCCCAACCCCCACCCCATACAGGGCACCAGTGACAGACGTTTGAGTTGGTAGACCAATGATTTTATTGTGCTTTCTTGCAGAGCATGGACAAGGAGATAATTTACAAAGATGTGGGCAATCCCAAAGCAGCTACACCACTGAAAAGTCCCTATGGGGTGAAAATTTCCCATGACTGCATGGATGGAGTCCTATCTTCATTTACCTTTTCACAGTCTTTCATAATCTTCACAATTCCAGCATGGGACCACAAATCCCCGCATGGAACCATGAGCAATCAGGGCAGAACTATAGGCAGCTAGCTGGGAGGTGCAGAAGGGAGTGACTGAGATAACAGGTGAGAATCTAATATCCCTTCCTGTTCTTCTTTTTATGAGGGGAATCTCAACCATCTACAGGCCCCATTTCTAGGGCTGCCTGCAGAAGCTCACGACTGCTATGGACGAGAAAATGGTTATTTGGTTTTGGAGGCTAGCTCTCTACAGCACCCCCTCTTCTGAGACGGTTACCAGACAGAAAAATTAAATCTCAGAAACTGAAA